GGACCCACCTATCATCCCCCCACAGAGAGCCTCTGAAGAACTCCCAACTAGCCACAGTGTTGCTTCCCTCTTATTCCTACAAGATTAAACATCTTATTTCCTACCTCCAGAAATGGCTTTGCTTTGGTTTTTCTCTTTCTAAGCTCATGAAGATCTCTAAGCTCTTAGGATTCTCCCAGCTTTCTAGAGAGAATGTTGGAAAGAATACTCCTGCCCACCTCACAGAGGCCCTAGGGGGAATAAACAATATTCCTAAAGTCACCTGGCTCAGCCAGTGGAAGAACAATTTGAGCAAGTGCTGACTCTTCCACCCAGCACCATTTGCTCTGCCAAAATTTGCTCTGGTCCAACATTTCCACCATGGGCCAAGACATTGTGAGTATGCTCACTAAGGAGAGCAGGATTTTGATGTCTCCTGAATATGAAGCCTTACACAGCTCCGTGTTCCCCTTACTCAACAGAAACCACGCTTGATCTTCTGGTAGCCCACTATCTGGGTGGGCCGTCACTTTCTAGGTCTCTGTCCTATCGTTGATTCCCAGAAGGAATTTATTCAAATCACCTCTGCTTGTTTGACAGTCTCACAAGTGTGTGGTCTTCTGAAAAGAGCTCTTTTCCTACTGCTGGCATCACATGTACATGTGACAGAAGACTCCACCTTGAAGCTGAGATTGGTTTTAGTTCTGCCCAGGCAACTACAAGATCTGTTTTCTAGGACTTTCAATAACCATAGGGTCAATATGGAATGAGGATCATATGGCATGATCAACATTTTATCTCAAAAAAAAAAAAAAAGACAATTACATATTGTGTGCCCTGATGATATATAGGCTCAGCCTCTGAAGAGAGTCCGAGGTTTAAATGTTACCTCTGCCATGCACCAGCAGGGCAATCTTCCACCTCTAAGTTGAGGATACTAACCGAACCTACATCATAATGCTGTAGCCAATGAAATCCCCATGTGATGTAATTGGCACTGATTTTGATGCCTAGCACCAAATGAAAAGGGAGATTCGTCTTTCATAGACCAGGCATCTATAATCACAGCATCTGGGCTTCAACTTTCCTCTAGTTTTTCTTTTAATAATGTCCCAACTTTTCCCTTTGTGCCACTGCAATTCAAACCCAAAATATTAAAAATTAAGAAACATAATTAACTTCTTATGTTTAGGAAGAGAACTACAGAACATGAACTACCTCCAGAGAAGAAAAACCAGAGAGGTTAAGCCTGATGTCTTAGCAACTTGTTACCATCCAGCTTCCCTCTCCAGCCAGCTTCACACTAAGTCCCCGAGGGCTTCCTGTTTCTTCACGGTGCTGGATCTGCTTGATCAACCTCCACCTGGAAAGTAGCCTTCCTCTGATTTTCTTTAACGTGATCTCCAGCCTTCCCTCCTCCCCTTCTTGTTCTCATTCTTTGGTTTTTAGCTCTCTCCAATTTCTGAGCACTTGGGTGCATCTCTCTTCCAATACCTAAGGCAGCTTGGTCTTCTACCCAGCTCCGCCTTCATTCAGCCTGCATACCTTACAAGGTACACAGCTGCCACCAGCCTCAGTTCTGACTCAGAATGATGTTTGGTCATAAGCAATGTATTAATTAGGTACACGCATGTATTTTCCCAAAGTAGCTTTCATGGACTGTGTGTTTAAAATCACTATAGATACCATATTCATATAAAGCACAGAGAACCGGGCTCAGTGGAGCACCCCTATAATCCCAGTGGCTCAGGAGGCTGAGGCAGGAGGATCTCAAGTTCGAACTCAGCAACTCAGCGAGATCCTGTCTCTAAATAAAATACAAGAAAGGGCTGAGGATGCTGCTCAGTGGTTAAGCACCCCTGGTTTCAGTCCCCGTTACCAAAAATATATATTAATGATAACAAACAAACAAACAAAAAAAGGCACAGATCACCATAGTCATCCAGACAGTCATCCTACCTAGGTCTTTCCTAAGAAGTCCCAACAAGGATATCATTGATATCCTGACTGACTGACATCTAAGAAAATCCCAACTTGATACTCCACTCCAGGCATGGTATCTGTGACTCTGTCTTTAGTTGGAGGGCAAAGAGTCAGGGGAACTAACATCAAGTTCATCATTTTCTGACTTAAACTCTGCATTCAGTACCTTGTCTCATTCCTGATCCAGAATCCCTGATTTCATAATCTACCCAATGACCTCATTCCTACAAAGCTGTGGGTCCTCCCAGGAATGAAAATCTACTACCAGTCTGGCCCATCTAGGAAAATGACTCACACCAGGCTCCCCTTGACCTGATCGTAGAATGGATCAGACTCCGGGTCTGTATTCTCACTGTGATTTCTTATATGACCAATCACTTTTTCTTTCTTAATTTCATCTGTAAAACTGGAATAAAAAAATGCCAGCGTAGAGATGCTCTGAGAGTCACTGGTAACACAGTGTTTGTCACATCAGTGAACAATAGCTGCTATCTTAGGATGACCATTAATTATAGCCAGGTTGATGCTGGTTTCCGCCTGCCCTGTCCCGGTTTGCTGTTGACACTTCCCACACCCACACACACACTTACCTATCTCCTCATCTGAGTTCCAACTCCTTCTGCTCCTCTAAGTGAGTTCCAGTGTGTGTGCCTATTTTGACTGCTGGCTGGTGGTGTGCTGTAGCCTTTGTGTCCTCACCAGAGCTGATCCTGGGCACCTTCTCCCAGTTCATTCAGTGCCATTATGTTGGTAGCTTGCAAACAGCCACAGTGGGAGTATTTTTACCACAGAACTCGGCAAACACTAAGAATTAGGGTTCTCTGTCCAGAGAATGGTTTGTTCAGCATTTCCAGGCACACAATCAAGGACTCTTCATTTTTGTTCTGTACTTCCTCTGGGCCTGATCATCTGACCCAAACTCTGAACAAAACTCTTTCCAGGGGAGAACTCAGAATTTGGTACATAAACTGGCCCTGCTTTTCAATGGGAATACAGCTAAATCCATGCCCAATCTACAGAGCAGCACTCAGTTTAAGAATGAAAAGAAGGGTTGGGGATGAAGTTCAGTGGTAGAGCAAGTGCTTGGCATGCATAAGTCCCTGTGTTCAATCCCCAGCAATGGAGAAGGAAAAAAGAAAAAAAAAAAACAGGAAGAAGAAATACGCCAGGAAACAAAAAAGTCTCACGAATATATATTAACCTCAGGATTAACCTAGCACTAATGAGATCAGCTCAGCCCAGCCCAGGGTTCCCTCCCTGCCAGCTCCCTCTTGGTAATGCAATCTCCAAGGCCAAGGCCCTCACCTGAGCTTTTGGATGGAAATCTCCCAGGCCCTCAAGGACATGCCCCCCCTTTCACTCCCAGAATGCCTCTGCTCTGGCTTGGAAACATCCTGAAGCAGAGTACACAAGAATGAAATCTTTACAGGCGGAAAAAGACGCCCTGGTTTTCCTTCTTGGTTGGGAAGGTTCTGAGCTCCACACCTTTGCTGAGGTGGAAGCATTGTGACAGTTTGCATCCTGTATGTGATCCCAGGTGACCAGCACCAGACTTTGCTGTGCTGAGGATACACGGAGTGTGTAATGCTTACCGGCCATGCTTGCCTTTCTAATCCCCTTGAAGAAAGACTTTGGTAAGCAAATAAATAGGTGTGCATGGTGGGGTGGGAGGAGGGGTGTTCTTCCTCTGGAGGAAACTTATTCTCCAGGATTTTAGAGAACAAACCATCATCTGCTGTCACAGAAACCTGTCTGCAGTGTCTCGAGTATCCTTTTACCAGTCCTATGCATGAAAGGACTCCCCACAGATCAATCCAGGGATATGCCCCATCTTTCTGCCTGTTAAGCCTTAAATCCTGCCCCCCTGCTCCACAGGACCCACAAGTTCTATTCATTTTTCTCTTTTCATAACTGCAGACCACCTCAGAATGCAAAGCCCTTCTCTCTGTCCCGATCCTCCCACATGCCCACCCCTTGACAGGCCTCCCCTAAAATTGGCACATGGGAAAAGTTTCCCCTTTAATTCTTTTTTTTTTTTTTTGCTAATCTCCACAGGGGTAAAAATAGAAGATGATGGATGTGGGGAAGGGACAAAAGTTCCAGGAGTCTCCCCAGCTTTCTCCTTACCCAGGTCTCTGGACATAAAATGTGAATTGCAAACCCCTCGTGTTAACAATCCTTTGCCTCCTATCTTATTCTCCCCTCCTATCATCGGGTTCCCCTAGTGTGCTCCTAATAATAAGGACAGAGGTAAAGCAATCTGGATTTAAGGAGGCACTTCACAGGCTGCAAATCACTCTCCCGTCCATCCCTTTGGTGAAGCTCAGACCCTCCCTGTGACTCGGGTGTTGAGTGGCCACCAATCTGTAAATGAGATGAGGAACAGGGGCTGGCAGAGTGCCTGGCAGAGACCTGCTCACAGCCCACTCCTTTTTTTTTTTTTTTTTGAAATTGTGTTTTCACTCCAATTTAAGAGGAAAAGCCACATAAACCTTCCATCCTCCCCACCCCCACTTCACACTGGTAACAGCTTTAGTTCTTGGCTGATGACCAGACCCTCCCTCCCACAGTGATATGGTAAGATCAAGGCACCTCAGACTACCTCCAGATGACCCTGGCTGTGCCTCAAAGKTCTAGGGTTGAGCTGAGTCTGGATGGAGATGAAACACTGCCATTCTCCCAGGACAAGCTTTTTATTTCTTGCTTTGTCTTCCGACCTCCTCCTCTACTTTCCCTCTTCCCAAGCCATCCAATGCACAGTCACTTCCAGACACAGGACTTCAGACTCCCTTAATTTCCCTTCTCACCTTCTAGTAAAATTTAACTCCAGAGCRTTTAGATCCGTCAATGTAGAATACCTACCCTCTGCTCTTTATTAGTGTCAACAACAGGAATTGTTTGAGAATGTTTATCCATTGAAACTTTTTATGATGATCTTTGTAATGAGATGTGATCACATTACAAAGATCTCATACTGATGTTTGTAATGAGATGACTTTTTTCTCCATATAAATCAGATGTCTTCTTCTTCAGCATGTGGATGTCAGATGAGACCGCATACAAGACCAGCRGACTGCTCAGTGCCAAACTAAAGGAGTCCTCTTACTAACCAATTGGATAGAAGATTAATTTATCCRTTCAACACCACTTCCTAACCATTTAACCTGAACTCCTGGAGTACCTGACATCCAGCATCCCATTCCTGTTACGTGTATATTATCYACCCCTTCTCATCCGACTGGGAGGCCTTTCAGAAAAATGGGACCTCAGTTTGCCACTGCCCTGTGAATGCTCACTGCACTTCTTGAGCCTCAGAGAGGAGGATAGAGAGAGCACCCTATCTCCACTGATTACATTCTTCTCATCGAATTCAGCCAAAATGGCTTAAGCACCGAACATGCGTGTTAGCAGAGGAGCTCAGAGAAGGAGGGATCGAGGATTATTTAAGGATCATTGTTGAAGCTGGATGAGGATCCATGGAAGTTTATCAGATAATTTGGTCTACTTCTATAAATACTGGAAAATGCCCCGACTAAGAAGAATATGAAGAAATAGAAGGAAACTGAGCAGGCTTCACATAGCAAGTAGCAGCTGCGCAAAACCAAAGCCCGGGTAGGATTTCAACGAGCCGACACTGGGTCGGGGGCCAGGCCAGGCAGGGAACATCACTAGCCAAGGCACAGAGACTGGAAAATACAAAGTGTTCATGAAGAATTGGGAGTAGTCAAGTGTCGCTGTAGTAGAGGGGGCAAGAGGGGGACAGGGGGAGATGGGCTAGAAAGGTATCCTGGGGTCAGAGCTGGGCCCTAGAGAGGCCCCATGAGGAGCTGAACTTATTCAGTTCATGGGGGAAAGTGACCTCACTGGTTAAGCTTGAGTTGGCCCTACCCCTTCAGTCAGTCTGGGTGCAGGCCCAGAAGCAGGGCATGTGGCAGAACCTGGCAGAGGAGGATGCTGGCAGTACTGGCAGGCTTGTTTCTTCACCAGGAAACAAGGTTTCCTGTAACTCAGACCCATGAATCAGCATTTCCTCTGTCAATAATACACAGCAAGAAATGCACCAGAGCCTGGGCGAATGGAAGAAAGGAAGGAATATTCCATGACATAGCTGGCCTCTGCTCTCCTTTCCCCTCATGAAACACTCCTGATAAGCTCCAAAGAGCACTCAGGTTTCATAAGATAAGTTTCTCAGAGGACCTCCCAGTATCTCGCAGGGATTAAGGCCTACAGAATGCTGGCCTCTCTTGTATATTGTGTATTTCTGTCACCATGAGGAAAGTAGAATCACTTTCTGAATTCTTTCACCTTGTGAGAATCAGACATTAATAACAGTGTTCCTTCCTGACAGAGATTTGAGTGATTTGCCTTTGAGTTTTCACACTTACATATCCAATGTCTTATTTAATTCTCATGATAATCCTGTGAGGAACACGGGGAACATTATATCCATTTAATAAACACAGGTTTCAAAACAGGAAGACGAAATGCTTCTTCCCTGTCAGAGGTRTTTCGAAGAAGCCAGAACTGACCCCAGCTCTTCAAACTGCAGTCCAGAAATCTTTTCAAAGCTATAGACTTTGAAAAGCATAGATATTTAATATATTTATCTTCAAATATATTGAACAATATTAATGAATCAGTAAAACAAGATATTTAATTTATAGGACTCTGATATGTRTTATACGTGCATATACCTTATCTAGCCCCAGAAAGAATTTTATTCACTGTCCTAGTTCATTCATTCATTTATCAAAAATGTATTAACTGCCTACCATACACCAGGCTCTGTTCTAGACACATTCAGTGGTGAATGAAACRGATGAAAAGTCCTGCCTTCATATTCTCGTTGAGGAGCTCAGACAATAAATAGGGGGAAAGAGTAAAATAGAGATTGTGTTAGAGAGTTGCATGTGCTTTGAAAAATAGAGAAACGGATAAGAGTATTGAAGGGGTGCAATTTACATAGGATGTTCCAGGACAACTTGATTTAAAATGTGACATATGGAGAGAGAAACTATGTGGCTAAAAGGGATGGGGGTAGTCAGCAGAAGAAACAGCATGGGCAAAGGCCTTGAAGTGGAACTTTCTGGCAAGTTCAAGGAACAGTAGTCAGGTATGGTTGAAAGATAAAAAAAATGAAGTCACCATATTCTCTATTCTCCCCCCACACACTTCCTCTCTCTCTGCCTCTTCCCCGTCTCTCCCTCTTTCTCTTGTCTAGGTTTTCAATAATGGTCCAGGATTAAAAGCTGCAAGCCAATTCCCATGGCCCCTGGTTGCAGAAGCTATGCAGGGCAAGGTCAGGCAGAGGAGCAACTTAGTGCCTGGGCTTGGGCCCTGGCCCCACACCTCCATCAAATTCTTATTTAATGGGACCACAAGAACACATTGACCTCCTCTTGCCTGGGCAATAGGCTGAAAGCAGAACCAATCCTTCTTGATTCCCCCTATTCTAGGCCTTCCCAGGGATGCTCATCTTCCAATACAGCCTGCTCCTAAGCATCAGGGTAAGAAACCCCAGGAGAAGGAGGAAAAGGATGACATCAAAGCTATCATCTCTGCAAAACCTCACTCCTCAATTCAGGGGACTGAGGGAGTGTGGGTGTGGGCATGCACATGGACATGAAGGAAGAGAAAAGAAAAAGAGCCAACCTGCCTTCCCTCCGGAATCCTGGCATCGCCTCCCTTCTTATTCCTTCTCTTATTAATCCTATAGGCTTAACGGGAAAGCTCATATCTAATTCATGCCCCTTCTGCCTCCACTTTGCCTCCTTCACATCTTGGAGGGTTTTTGAAAATTCCTTTGTGTAGCTTCAGCAAACTTTGACACTACCACCAATGAGAAGGCCGTTCAGTCCCTCCAGGTCTTTGATGAATGTCTCTTTGCTTTGCCTGCAGAAGTCACTAAAATAGATAAGAACAGCACAGTACTCCAGGTCGACAGTGGACACTAGGTGGAGAAGTCCCTCACCTCATTTATCAGAGCAAATGAGCAAAGAAGAGAGATACTGTCATCCAGAGCCTATTAACAACTCCGATGAGCCACAGGTATCCGGACCCAAGTGGAGGAGTAAAAGTCACTCAAACAGCTCTTGCACTTCTTTCTCTCCTCGGGGCCTTTCTCCATCGCTGCCTCCTTGGGAGCACTTGCCCAGATCTGTCGTCACCATCCTCATTTGAGTCTCTTCGGAACTACTATTTAAATCAAAACTTCTCATTTTGAGGTCATTTTCATAGATTTATATGTGGTTGCAAGAAATAATACAAAGAGATCCCTTGTAGCCTTTACCAAATTTCTCCCGATGTTAACATCTTACAAAACTGTAAAYAATATATTGTCAATAATGTAATCAGGATGAGAAGATCTCCATCACCAGGAGCCTCCAGTGGGACCCCCTTGTGGCCACAACCACTTATCTCCTGTCCCTTACCCTCCTTTATCCTGGCAACCACTATTCTGCACTTCCTATAATTTTAACGATTCAAAAATATAAGTGGAATTATATCAGAAAAAAATTGGGGAATTGGCTTTTTCCCATCAGGATAAAGTTTCATCTAGGATATGTATCAATAGGTGGTTCCTTTTTATTGCTGAGTACTATTTCATGAATGAAAGTACCACAGTTTATTCACCCCTTGAAGACACCTGAGTTGTTTTCAGTTTTGGGCTACTGTGAATTTCCTGACACCATATGAGGCTGCTATGAACATTCATGTTCTCTGGAATAAATGCTCAGGGGTACATGCTTGCATGTAAGGTAGGTGCATATTTCCTTCTTCTACTTTTGCTTTTAAAGATACTGTCACACTGTGTTCCAGGGAGGCTGTACTATTTACATCTCAACAGCAATGTAAGACTGATTCAGTTTCTCTGCATATATGGCAGCACATGGGGTTGCCACTTTTTTTCAGCCATTCTGATAGGTATGTATAGAGTGATATCTCACATTTTTAACTTACATTTCTCTAACCATTGATGATGTTGAACATTTTTCCCATGTGTTTATTTGCCATCCACACATAACTTTTTGTGGAATTTCTGTTCCATGTCTTTTGTTGATTTCAAATTGGATTATTTGCTTTTTAAGTGTTGAGTTTTAAATGTTCTCCATATATTATAGACATGAGTTCCTTGTTAGATATGTGATTTGCAAATGTTTTCTTCCCATTCATTTCAGTTTTGTCTTTTAATCTTGCCTTTCACCAAGAACTTTTTTTTTTTAATTTTAAAATCATGATACAGTTCTTATTTATCATTTTTCAGTGGATTATGCTTTGGGTGGCAAATGGAAGAACTATTTGCTTAACCTTAGTTCCAAATAGAAGTTCCTCCCTATAATTTTTTCTGGAAGTGTTTTCATTTTTTATTTTRCATTTAAGTTCTTTGTCCATTTTGAGTCAATTTTTGTATAATGTATAAAACTTAGATGGAGGTTGTGGTACTTATGTGTTTGGGTTTTGCCTATGAACGTCCAGTTACTCCAGAACCAAAGGCTATCTTTATCCCATTGAATTGTGTTTGCTACTTTGTAAAGAATAGATAGGCTTATATGTTTGAGTTTCTGTGCCTTCTATTCTGTTCTGTTAATTTATATGTGTATCTCTCTACAAATACTACACAGTCTAGATTATTATGGCTATATTGTGGACTCAGGTGGACAGGTTCCTCCTACTTTATTCTTCTTTTTCAAAATTCTAGCTCTTCAAGTTTCATTGTGYTCCCATATGAATTTTAGAATTATTTTGTTTGATACTTACTAAAAATAATTGCATGTAATTGGATCTTGAGAGAATATATGATAAATTTAGATATCAGTTTGGGGAAAATTAATATCTTCAACATAGTGGTGGGCAGAATAATGGCACTTCAAAAATTTCCACAGCCTTTTCCCTGGAACCAGAGACTATGGATTTATAGGGTAAAAGAGACTATAGACAGGGAATATTATTCTCTTCTCACAGCAATCAGAAAAAAATCCTGACCTGCCAATACCTTGATTTGAGCCCTGTCATACTCAATACCAGACTCAATACCAAAAATTAAATTGATTTGTGTGTGTTTATTTTGAATACTTAAAACTTGCTGCACTCAATTATTAGTTCTAAGAGGTTATTTGGTAGATTACTGGTAATTTTCTGTATAGCAAGCATATTGTCTACAATCAAGGCAATTTTATTTGCCACTTTTTGATCTTTTTGCCTTACATTCCCTTTTCTTCCCTAATTGCACTGGCTAGAACTCCTAATTCTGTGTCAATTAGAATAGCGACAGTGAACATTCTTGCAACCTTCCTGATCTTAGGAAGAAAGGACTCAGTCTTTCATGATTAAACATAATCTTAGCTGCAGGGTTTTTGTAAAAATACTGTTTATCAAGTTGAGAGTTCTCTTAAAGTCTTAGGTTTCCTGAGAATTTTTATCATGAATGAATGTTGAATTTTGTCCAATGCTTTTTCTACATTCACCCATGTGAGTATGTGTTTTTCTTCTTTATACTGTTACTATAGTGGATTAACACTGATTTTTTAAAATCAGCACACGAATATTAAACTAGCCTTGCATCCTTAAAATAAAATCCATTTGGTCATTGTGCAGAATTTCATTTATAATTGCTGAATTCTATTTGATAATTTCTTCTATTTGGTTACATTCTGGTTTTTAAGTGTTTTGCATCTATCTGCATGAGGAATATTTACAGTTTTCTTTACTTGTACTCTCTTTATCTGATTTTAGAATCAGGGCAGTATTACTTTCATAAAATGAACTGGGTATTGTTCCCACCTCTTCTATTTTCTAGGGGATATATAGTCTTGATGTTAATTCTTCTTTAAATGTTTGGTAGAATTCTTTAGTGAATTCTTTCAGGGGAGCTTTTAAATTATTAATTCAATTTTCTTAATGATTATAGGGCTCTTCAAATTACCTATTTTACTTTGAGTAAGTTGCTGTARTTTATGTTTTTTGAGGGGTTGATAAATTTCATCCAAGCTGACAAATTTTTGTGTTTACAGTTATACAGTGTCCCTTTATTATCCTTTAAATAATGGAGGGTCTGTAGTGATATTGTTGGCTTCATTTTTTTATATTGATCAGTTGTTTGTCCTTCTCCTTTTATCATCTTGATAGAAATTGGTTAATTATTTTGACCTTTTTAAAGAAGCATTTCCTTGTTGCATTGATTTTTTTTCTATTGTGTTTTGGTTTTCTTTGTAACCAGTTTCTGTTATCTTTTTTGTTTCTTTCCTTTAGCTTACTTTGAATTTGTTTTTACTTTTCTGTGTTTTATTTGTTTTTTGATGTAGGAACTTACAAGATTAACAGGAGATTTTTTACTAATGTAAGCATTTAGTACTGTAAATCACCCCCTGCATCTTGCTATGTCCCACAAGATTGAAATGTTTACTCAATTTCATGCAGTTCACTGCATTTCACTCACTTCAATGAATTTATTCATTCACTTCAGTTTGATCTCCCTTTAGACTTATTCCTTGACCCATGGATTATTTAAATTATATTGTTTGGTTTCTTAATGTTTGAAGATTTTCCTGTTGTCCTTCTGTTATTAATTTCTAGTTTAATTTCATTGTGGTCAGAGAATACAACCTATATAATTTCAACTATTTAATTTTTTTTTTTTGTACTAGGGATTGAACCAGGGGAATTTAACCACTGAGCCATATCTTCACCTCTTTTTATTTTTTATTTCAAGACAGGGTCTCACTAAATTTCTTAGAGCCTCACCAAGTTGCTGATGCTGGCCTTGAACTTGTGATCTTCCTGTTTCAGCCTTTGAAACTTGTGGGATTACCATGCATCACTGCATCTGGCCAACTATGTTAATTTTTGAGGTTAGCTTTATGGCCCAGGATATGGTCAATCTTGACTTATATTCTGTGGTGCTTGAAGAGAATATGTATGTAGTTTTTGTTGGGTATAGTATTCAATAAATGTGAATTGTATTCTGTTGATTGGTGATGAGATTGAGTCCCTCTATACTTTATTTTCTGTCTAGTTTAAATTGTATGTAAAAAATACATCTACAAATATAAATATAGATTTGTCTATTCTATCAGTTCTATCAGTTCTTATTCAGCATAATTTGCATCATTGTTTTGTAGTAAATTCACACTTTGAATTGCTTTATTTTCTTGATAGTTACCCCTTGTTATGGTTTGGATGTGAGGTGTCACCCAAAAGTCATGTGTGAGACAATGCAAAAGGGTTTAGGGGAGAAGTGATCAGGTTATGAGAGCCTTAAGAAAATCAGTGAATTAATCCCCTTATGGGATTAGCTGAGTGGGATTGAAAACAGGTAGGGTGTGTGGCTGGAGCCTTTGGGGTATATATTTTATATTAGAGAGAGAGTAAAGTCTGCTTCCTTCTGCCACACTCTTCCCCATGATGTCCTGCCTCACCTCGAGCCCCAGGGAATAGAGCTGGCTATCTATGGACTGAGACCTCTGAAGCTGTGAGTCCCCCAAATAAACTTTTCCTCCTCTAAAATTGTTCTTGTCAAGACTTTCAGTCACAGCAAAAAAAAAAAAAAAAGGCTGACTAATAAAATATTCCTTTATCATGATATAATGTCCTTCACTGTTTTGGTAATTTTCTTTGCTCTGAAATCTATTTTATTGGATATTAAGATAGCCATTTGTGCTTTCTTTATATGCATCTGCAAGATGAGCCTTTTTCTATTCCTTTACTTTCAAGTCCTTATATTTGAGGTGAATTTCTTTCAGACAGCATATGTAGAGTCATATTTTTAAATCTATTTTGTCAATCTYTTTTAATTGGTATATTTAGATTATTAATATTTAATGTAATTTTGATATGCTAGGATTTGTCTGACATTTTCTTATTTCTTGATTTCCTTTTTCTTTTTGGTTTGTTTGTGCTTGGGTTGGTTTTTTTTTGTTTTTTGTTTTGTTTTGTTTTGTTTTTTTACTATTTTTTTTCCTTTCAAAAATACTACTTGAACATTTTGAAGAATTTCATTTAAATTTATCTATAGTGTTCTTGAATGTATCACTTTGAAAGTTTTTTAGTTGGTTGTTGTAGGAATTATATTACACATACCTGTCACAATCGACTGGTATCATCATATTACCAATTTGTGTGAAATACAGAAAACTTACCTACCTTTTCTTTTCTTTATCCTCCCCCATTTTAATATAATTGCCTTAGATGTATTCTCTACATATGTTCAGGATMAAATTAGAAAGTGTTGTGCTTTGTTACAACCATCAAGCACAATCTAGAAGACACAAAAGTAAAAGGAAAGATATTTTTGTTTTTTCCTATTTTTGCTTAATGTGTTTTTTTTTCTTCCATCTCCATTTTGCAATTTCTTCATTTATCCTTCCTTTCTATTTACAGAATATCTCTTGGAAATTCTTGTAAGGGTAGCCTGGCCTGTTGGTGACAACCCCTCTTGGTTTCCTACATCTGAGAATGTCCCAATCTCCCTTCACTTCTGAGGATAGTTAACTGGATATAGGATTCTCGATTGATTCTTAGTTATTTGCTGTCAGAACTTGAAAAACATTGTGCCACTTTCTTCTGGCCTACATGGTTTCTGGTGAGAAATCTGCTGTAATTTATACTATTCTTCTTCTATAGGAAGGATATCATTTCTTTCTGGTGGCTTTCAAATGATTTTGTCTCTAGTTGTTAGGAATTTGGCTATGATATGTCATGTCATGAATTTCTTTGAGTTTATCCTGTGTGAGGTTTACTCAGGTTTGTGGCTCTGTCTTACCAAGTTTGGAAAGTTTTCAGCTAAAAGTTTTTGACACTGTTCTGTTAGAAAAAAAAAAAAAAAAAGGTGAACCTCATTATTTCCAGATAGAAGTAAGAAATCCAGGTTCTACACTCAGTTTTTGTTGACAGTTGAAGGGTGACTCCTCAGTATTACTGGGCAGGAGTGGGAGTTCTTGCTCGCYAGTAGGCCTACACAAATATCTCCTGTCTAGTAGGATGGGAACATTTCATTGCTTGCCCCCATTGCTAATAGGAAAATATGGCCTTATTACTACATAGTGATAAAATTCTGACTCTCTTGTGGAGTGAGGTATAAGTGCTTCATTACTTCAAGGTAGAAATGGAATTCCATGCTGTCCACATGGTCTTCACTTATCATAGCTGCTGGGAAGCATGCTTCATTACAACCCTGCAGAAATGAAAATACCAGCCCCCTCCTCAACTTTCTCTGACACCATGCCAAATGGAAAGATCTGGGGGCACATAATGACACCATGCAGAGAGTAGAAGTCTAGACTTTGTAGTTGACTTTTGCTGGCATGTGCAGGGAAAGGTTTGTGTATTTTGTAGTGTTTAGCTGAGATAGAATGGTTGCAACCTAAAAGTTTTCTGTTTATACTTGCTACTCATTTCCTGACCTTCTGATAAGATTTTTGTTGTTGTTGTTTTGTTTGCTTGTTTGTCCATCTGTACACACACACATTTCTAGTTGTTACCATTCTTCTAAGGGAGGTCTACTGAGAAAAAAATTGAGAGAATTCTTAATTAATTAAGTTGTTACTTGTGTCGTGAGGTTAGGGACCTAGCTAGTCTTCCCCCTTCCCTTGACCTGTCAAAATATCCTTATATTTGTCTTATACCTGATATCCAGGGGTTTTAGTTATACTTGGCAGGAAGAATAGAGAAAACTTGTATATTTCATCTTTATAGAAGCATAAGTTTCCACTGAACTTTTGAAATGGTATTATGACCAAACTTCTTACCCCAGGTGTCCTCTCCTTGCAGATAAAATAGTATTCCACTTTAAAATACTGAAAGACCACATTATTTTCTTTTCTGTAGAATTCTTGTGAGGTTTGACCGATGCTAGAATAATATGAAATACATCTGCCTGGTATTTAATGTCTCCACTATCTAACTATAACTCTCCTCTTCATTTTCTTTCTCCTCCTTTCCACAGAACCCTGGAGCCTCAGTGAACTGCACTTGTTCCTTTCTAAAATGCTCTGGAAACTCTCTGGGCTTTCCTGCTACCTCATTTTGCTTTTGTCATTTTTATACCTGGAATATCCCATAATTTCATTTTTTTTTTCTTTCCATCCAAGAACCACTCAAATACTGCAACCTATCTTTTCTACTTCTCCTTGAACTCTCCTGACCTCTATTATCTGTAGCACTTCTGTGGTATGGGCTGCATACTGTGTGTGTGTAGAAGTTATTTATTAACAGAAATTTAGCTACACAACTAGGGTATGAGCTCCTTGATGAATAAAGCCCAGGATGATTCTTCTCGGCCTCCTCAATAGACCCTGGTGCAGGAAATGATACACAATATGTGCATAAAAAAAAAACATGTAAAGAATTAATTCACATGATTCCTACATGATAGTCCATCCAAAAAAGTCTCTTTGACTTCCCATCTTTAGGTATTTCAGGAGCCATTTTTCAGGACTTTCCATTTGAAGTCAAATTCTGCGAGTGGAATTTGACTTAGCATCTAAAGAGATCTGGATCCTTGAGTAGTTGAAGGGAAACACTACTCTCAGCACTAAGCCAGATCTCAAGGGAAAGTCTTTCTTTGGCTTTCAAAGTCATGAAGATTGTCTCAGAAAACTACGGATTAATTATGCAGAGATGGGACACAGCCAGAGAAACAAAAATCCACTGATTTACAGAAATAACACCTTTTCTCACCATCTAAATTAGTAGTTCAGAGTCTCCTAAATGGAGATATATTAAGGAAGCAGAATGCAAATGTGATCTCTATCTATTCTCAGCTCAGCAGGCATCGGTATCTAACAACATCATTAAGGTTGTCTTTGCATAGACAGGTCCAGGCAGGGAATGGCTACTCTCCAGGGACTCTTTCCACCATCATAGAACAGGAAAAAGTAAAGTGGCAAGCAAAGGGAGCAGAGGTGAAGACAAGAAATAGTGAGGAGGAAGGGGCAGGCTTTCCATTCTGACCGTCAAGAGCCACTTCCTGGTGATTCCAATGTCCTCTCTTTAGCTGATTCTCTTTTCTTCCTACCATTACTGCTTCTGTATTCTTTTATATGGTTTTCCAGCCTGCTTGCTTCCCTGAATCAACTCACCTTAAACACACACACCAAAGTGATTTCCCCTAAAACTCGATTATGATTATACCATCTTCACTTTCAAATAAATTTCATCATTTCAGTCTTACAACTGTCGTGTCCACATCTCTACACCAGGTGTTCAAGAGTCTCTGTGTGCTATAACTTTACCTTACACCAATCCAGTTACACCCAAGCAGGCAAAAGCAGAGTAGAAAGAATGCAGAATATAAATCAGACGAGGTCAAATCTAGCTCACTCTCATAATAGCTGCATGATTTCAGGTAACTTACTCAACTTTGATATAGTCTCAGTTTCCTTTTTTTTAAAAAAAAAGTTGAAAAATAATAATAACTCAAAGGGTTGATGTGAGGAATAAATGATGTAGTAAGTAAATCATGTAGCACATAATAGGTGCTCAATAAATGGTAGCTATTTTTACTATGCTGAATCACACTGAACAATTTTCTCTATTCCCAAAGCACCACCAAGTCTTTTCTCAGGCTCAGTGGCCCTGGCAAGGTTGCAATGTGGCCTTGAAAAAGGAACAGATTATGCCAAGAGGAGAGGGGACTACCTAAGGATGAAGGGTGGTAGTGAGGAGCACCCACATAAGGATGAAGTAAATAGAACTCTGAGAGGCGCAGTTGTGAGAGGAGTGCTACAAACTCAGAGTGGCCAGGCAGGGTTTGGTAGTTTCAGTGTCTGATATTCTTTCCTGAGCCTCAGAGCAATCCCAGGCCTGTCCTTCCACAACTAAGAAGAACATTCTCCCACCTCTTCATGCAGATGAACTGTCTGCTTCTCTAGTAGACAGATGTATTCAAATGCCACAGGCAGCATAGAGGAGAGGTTGGCAAGTAGTCAACTCAGTTTGGGGTTTACATCTGAAGTGTATTCACTACGGTTTTCACAGCTATCATACCTGGTGTGCATGTGTGTTGTTAGAAGGGGCTCAGAGAAATTGTGTCGGGAGACCCACTTCAAAAGTACATTTATTATTATCTCCGCTGTTCAAGCCACACAAAATAAATGTCTGGCATTTCCAGAAATTGCTATCGATTCAGCAGCAGATTTTACAAGGCCAATCAATAACAGTTTCCTCCTTCCCCTTCTCCCCAAGTGTATATTTATTTGTGATCAAGCTTTCTGTTCCTCCTGTGCTTTCTAGTGCTTATAATTGGTCCAAAATAAATGGATGATTTCATCTTTTTCCAGGAAAAAAGAGAGAGTAGAAAACCTGCTATTAAAAATATCTCCCTCCCCCATGAAAAAGCAAAGCTGTGTGTGTGTGTGTGTGTGTGTGTAAGAGAATGAGATAGATGATAGGTAGGTAGGTAGGTAGGTAGGTAGATAGATAGATAGAGAATATAGAGAGAGAGACTGAAGTCAAGCTGTTTTCCAGGGTCAGAGCCTCAGTTCATACAGGGCCATATCTGTGCCCTTGTTTCCCTACACCAACATCATTCTGCAATAGATTAAGAACCCAAAAAATCATATAGATTAACTGTCTAACAGAGGCTCAAACCAGAATAGAATTTCAAATTTCACCAGTCCAACCCCCTGAGAAGCTCAAAAAGTAAATGCAGATCTAAACCCAGGTCTCTTGCCTCTCTGACCAAGATATCCCCTTGATGTCCCATACACCCACCAACGTGTCTAACTACATTCCTGTCACCAGAGAAAACAGATCCTCATAAGCAATTGTCATGAGGAAATCCACTGTGGCAGGCAAAGGGGATGTGGGACTTTTCCCCATGGCAACTCACCATGCAAACAACTACTCACTTGTTCCCTGGCCTTTGGAGTCAGAACAGGAGCTGGACTTGTCTCTTAGGGTCTATTGACTGCCTGCCTCATCACCTCTGCCTCCTTCTCACTGACTAGACATGGCCCTGATCCACATTCAAAGCAGAATGTCACTGGTTAGCAAATAATGTGGGAGCATTGGGGAGTTAAGCCCAGCCTGAGCTGCTGGTCATTGTAGGTTGAATTGTGTTCTCCTAAAAAAATACACTAAAATCTAACCCTTAGTGCCTCAGAATGTGGCCTTATTTGGGGATAGGATCAATACTGAGTTATCAAGTTAATTAGAGTGGCCTCTCATCTGATACATGGTATCTTTATAAAAAGGATAGGTTTGAACACTGAGAGAGAAACATACAGAAAATACTTCATGTGAACATAAAGGCAGAGATCAGAGAGATCTTTCAAGCTGAGGGACATCAAAGATTGTCATCAAACCACTACAAGCTAGGGAAAAAGCCTGGAACCAATTATCCCCTTCAGAGCTCTTTGAAGGACCCAACCCTGCTAACACTTCAATTTCATGGTTCTGGCCTCCAGAACTATGAGATGACACATTTATGGTACTTAGTAGCAACATCCCTAGTTGACCAATGTTAAGGGGGCCTGGACTAAAGAATCTAGAGCTGAAAGTCAGAAAAACGATATTAACTAGACTTGAGGCTTAGAAATCACTTTTTTTTTTTTTTACCACTGAGCCACATCCACAGCCCTGAAATCACCTTTCTTAAACCTGTCCCCCGACAAAAAAATGTAGCATCCAGAGACAGAGTATAGAGGAACAAGGAGACATATACCCTGACTTTCCAGACAAAACAAACTTTTTGCAACTGATGGTCCAATTTATTCTGTGATAGGGTAGAAAACGTATGAGCCCTTGGACAAAAATAATCTTCTGGGTTTGTAGATAAATAGGAAGACTACATTTCCCACTGTCCTTTGCGATCAGAGTGGAGCATATGACTAATTCTAGCCAATAGGCATAGATTGAAGTGGCATAAGTGGAAGCATAGAAAAGTGGATGTGAATTTTCCAAATTCTGTCTTCTCCAGTCATGGAGACCCTAGAAGTCAAGTTATAACAGTGAGGTGCAAATTAAAGTACACTGGATCTTTACGTCACTGATTGAAAGGAAACTGACCTGAGGGAACTATCTGGCTCCCAATGAACTTTTTAGAAGAAAGAAATAGATATCTACGAGACTTGGGGAGAACAATCTAACCTGACATTTTATCCTAACTCAACTGATGAGGGTCCCTCACTCCTATGATCCATATTTGGCAATTTTAATATCCAGAAGCAACTAACCCATTTGGAAAACAATAACTTGGGATTTTCTCTGGCTCTTGATTGCTTCACTCCATTGGTGGCACATCCTACCACAACTCTGTCCATGTGATCTCCCATGAAATCACAGACTCTGGACCTCAAGATAAAAAAAAATGTCTCCTCAAAATTCCTAACAGGGTCTCCAGGGATAGCTTGAACCCTTATTAGAAAAGCAGTTCTTTCTACCACAACTATGATTATTAGAAATGTGTTCCTTTAGACTATCTAAAACCAGACTTTTTGCTCTTTCTACCCACTGACCTTCACAATTCTACCCTCCAAAGTTCTGGAATAATAAAAACAAGTCCATACTTATTGTAAACTTCTTTCCTCCTGGCTAATGTTTTAATCAAAGAAGATTTCTTTCTGGTAGCTTTGTGAATCAAGCTACCACAAATAAGTCAAATCTCAACAGTATGTAGGCCAAAGCTTTGTACCAATTATTTTGTTTTGTTAGGATTTTATAAAAATCTTTGTACCAATTATTTTGTTTTGTTAGGATTTTATAATTTAAAAAAATGTTTTTTTCAAATAAATGTAAGTCCACGAGGGTCCTACTATTCTTTCAGTCACAGAAAGATTTGCATGATAGCAATATTTGTTTTATTGAGATTTAACCTCTCCATTGAGCTGCTAAGTGCCTGAGCATGAATGTGGGAAATGGCTTTCTATCACCATAACCTCAGGAAAAAAAAATGTCAGAGAAATGCAGGCAAATAGATTATGATTGCATCGGACAACCCTTTTCATAAGCTAATGGGCTGCCTAACCTTTTCATGATGGCTGTCCCCCATAGGGTCTCGTAAGTAGATTGCCAAGGAGTTGGTTGAATTGGGCAAATTGATACACGAGCTTGTTTGACTTTCCATCTCTTTATGAATGATTGTTAGGTACTTTAACAATACACGAATGTGCTTAGAACACCTAATGGGGCATTAGTTAAGGAAAATAAGTAATTCCATTGAGAACTGTAGTGTTAACACAGAGAAAATCTATTTTCTTCCCTTTGAATAGTGGATTTTCCTTCATGTTTTAAGTGAAAATTTTTAAACATGTGCACACAAGTGAGACTTCTACACCCTCCAACTCATGTTTGAATCATGGAGATTCCTGGAGGAGAGATAATACACAATTTTACTTGAAGAATGAAAGGACTTTTACTTGAAGGACTAAAGGTTAAAATAAAAAAAAATCTTTAATATTTTATATTTAAATTAGAATATCTCATATTAGCATGGCTGGGGAAACACATAAATTGAGAAAATCTCTGAAAGACAATTTGACAGATATTATCAAGCCTTTCCAGTTTACATACCCTTTGACACAGATCCAATGATTTGGCTTCTAGGAATTTATTCAAAGGAGAAAATAATGGGTGTACATAGAGATTAATTTACAAAGATGTTTATAACAGCAGCATACAGGAAAAAGAAAAACTGGCAACAAAAGGAAATTGGCTTAACAAATGATACATTCTCTATACCATGTTATATGTACTTTATAAATTGTGTTATGAAGAATTAATGTTAAGTTTAAAAAGTAAGTTTCAAAATAGCATTTTCAGAATGTCGATTTTGTAAACACCCATACAAACAGATTAAAGGCATCAAAATGTTACAGTGCTTATACTTTAAGGTTAGAAAATGGGTGATTTTATTTCTGTAACTCTTTGAAATTTTTTAAAATGTTTCACAGTGAACACAATATATTTGTTATACAAAAATATTACAATGGAATTTCATCCTCTTATCTAAAAGATTCTAATTTCTCAAGGTGTTTTTGTTGCTAGAAAATCAGGGACATCTTTCCCAGTGGCTTAAATGACAATACTAAGTAAATCCAGCCTTTTTTAAAACTATTACAGAGCCATTTTTAATCAAGCTTAAAAATTAACAGACAGTTCCATAATTAGCAAAGATAACCAATTCAGTTCCACTTGAAATAAAGACATGCATGCAGGTTTTAAAGCTGAGAAAGAAATATTGGTATCACTACTCAAGAGCTTTTGATATGGAGTCAGAAAAGTTACAGTCAAGTTCTGACATTAACTTTCAGATGCATTGAGTAATTTTCTCAGTTTTTTCAGACTGGAATTGTATAGGTACATAGATCTCTTTAAACATAAATGATATGAAAATCAATGCATAATTACCTAAAATACCATCAAGGAAGTCACACATTATATATTGCATAGCTCTGAGTCATCTCTACCCTAGAATTGTAATAACTAATAACCAATACTGGTTGTAATAACATAAAGTAACTTAATTCCTTTTCTTTTCTTGGCTCTTTGTTGTGTGTGTGAAAAAAAAAACATGTACTCATGTACAAAATTATCATAAATGTACAGCTTATTGCAAATGAAACCCATGTAAGCCCCACTGACACTAAGAAATGGAAAACAGCCAGACCCCAGAAGGCCTGCATGTGCCCTTTCCCAATGAGACCTCCTTTCTCTCTTACCATCTTTCTTTTTTTCCAAGTTTTTTTATTGGTGAATTATAGTTGTACATAAACAGTGGAATTTGTTGTTACATATTTATGCATGCACATAATATAACAATAGAATTTGGCCAGGATCACTCCCCCACCCCAGTCTCCTCTCCTCTCGCCCACTGGTTCTTTTCCTCTAGGCATCACCATTCTCTTGACACTATTGTGATTATTTCCTTGACTTGTTTTATAGTCTACCACCCAAATATGCATTTCTGAACAATACAGCTTACTTGTATTTATGTTTGAATCTCATATAAACGGAATCATATAGAAAAAACTGTCATGATTATGGATTTTAAAAAAACCACTTTGTAATTCCAAACAACACCACAATCCCAATGACTCAGGAGACTGAGGCAGGAGATCACCAGTTTCAGGCCAGTCTGGACAATTTAGCGAGATCCCATATCAAAATAAAAAATAACAAAGCTCTGAGGGTAGTGTTCAGTGGCAGTGTGCCCCAGTATTGCCATGCCTACTACCACAAAACAAAACAAAAATTTTTTTTTCCGTAAACACAAGTAAATACCATTATTCATATTATAATCCTATTATATGGTTATGTAGATTCTGAATTTCAATCCTTCAAAGCAAGTAGCTGATTTCACAATTTTGATGTTGAGTTAATTTCCACTCAGGTCTGGACCATCTCATGCTTCTAGGTGGTCAGCACAATTTTATGTTCAGGGGTCCTCTGGAGATCTGTGTTTGAGACTCCTTGTGTCACCTGGATGGAAAAATACTTGCCTGAGGCCAAAGGGGTCCAGAAATACCTGCTTTGTTCAACAACTAGCAGGCTTCTCTCTGTTGAGTGAGTTCCCCAGCTATGATCAAGGCTCTAAAGTCACATCTGGTTAATCATTGGCTAGAAATCAATACACAGAGAGTGATGGTTTCTGATAAGAAATTATAATAAGCAAATTCAAGTTCAAAAGACTGGCTGTCATTTTGATCATTTTTGTTAAAAAAAAAAGGTGTTAAGCCCCCATTTGTTGGAAAATAATATGACCCCACTCATGCTGCTAACTAAATACAGAACTACTTTTTTCTTTTTTTTTTTAAATAGGTCTCTTTCCCCTCTCTGGTCAATTCACTGTGTTCCTAGGTTCTGCTTTACAAATGCCACCTAAAATTTTTTTCAATTCTAAGAAAATGCATCAATTTTATTCTGGTTTCACAAGGCCTCAGGGTTCAGATACCCTTTGTCCCAGTTCTGGAATAATTCTGCTGGTCTTTGATGTTTGCGGCTACCATRTGAACCGATCCATGGGGCTCCCAGTGCCCAAGGCACAGTGTCACTGTGGGTTTCCCAGCTGGCATGTGGCCAGGGCTTACCATTCCTCCAGTGCAACCAACCATGCTTGTGCACATGAGCACATGCGTGTGTGAATGGGTGGGTGTGTTCAAGCGTGTGTCAGCATACTCCCTGGCTCATTTGGGGACTATAGCAATAATAGGAATAATGCCTTTCATGTGTAAATGTTGGGTAAATAAATGAACAAATGAGCAATACTTCACCTGGCTCCTACCCCAACATTCCTTCTCTTCTCAAAACTGAGGCCATTTGAATTCCACCTTCAGGCTCATTACTGTGCCATTCCTAGGACCAATACAGGACTTAGTTAAGTAGAATTTTAGAGGTTTAGATCTAGAGTCTCCAAAAAAAAAAAAAAAAAAAAAAAAAAAAACAGAATTTAGTGTACCTCCTTGCTATCTGTACTACCTAAGAGATTGGCTGTATCCCTCTAGGTTAGTTAGCTTTTCATTGCTGTGACCAAAAAACCTAACCAGAACAATGTAAAGGAGGAAAAAAATATTTTGGCCAACAGTTTCAGAGGTTCATTCCATAGTCAGTCAACTCTATCATTCTGGGTCCAAGGTGAGGCAGAATATCATGGTGGAAGGGCATGGCTAAGGAGTGCTGCTCACCTCATGGTAGCCAGGTAGCAGAGAGAGAGAGATCAAGGTGCCAGGGATAAAATATAAATCCCAAGGTATGCCTGCAGTGATCCARTTCCTCTAGCCATGCCCCATCTTCCCATAGTTACCACCCAGTAATCCATGCAAATTGCTGAGAGCCATAACTAAGTAAGAATGATGCATGGCAATTTCCTTGTGAGCCTACCTCATGTTGCTTAGAGGGAGGACTCTCCATTGTGGAAATGGGCTTGCCTTGGACCCAGGTCATTTGCAGTGACATTGCATGAAAGGTGACCTTGCTCAAGGACCACAGTGGATCCGGGTTTAGGGCGGATCAGGGTTTAGGGCAGATGGGGTTTAGGGCGGTTTAAGGTGGACCCTGCTGGGAATAGGGCATATCCTGCAGCCTCAGGCGCCCTCCTGCTCCTTGAGTTCTCCTTGAGTTCCCCTTGAGTTCTCACGGGATTCAGAGAGTTTTTTGGGATGCAGAGCCCAGTGGAAGTGTGGATTTTCCCCAGAACGTGCGTGTAGAGTGCCGGTGAAAGTTGGGAATAAAGAGTTGCTGTTGGAATCTACAAGTTTTTGTGGTGGCTCGTGATTTTGTGCCCAGCCAGACTGCGGCAGCAAATTATTGTTTCATCAAGTGGATTAATCCACTGATAGGGCACAGCTCTCATAATCTAATCATTTTTACTTCGGCATTAACACAGGAGCTTTTAAGAAATAATTCATATTCATACATAATGTTTAATCCAAGTAGTTAGGATCCTGCTTATTGCCCAAATCAACATGTGACATTATYTCATCATTGAAAGATTTTCCACTGGAACCACTATCTTTCCCTGGTCCTTCCTGATCTTGACCATCTGTCATTGATTACCATACTCTTCACATGCATCATCTAGAATTCTTCACCCCACTTGCAGCTGGGTCTGCCCCTAGATCACCAGGATGGGTATCTTAATCTCTAGTTCAATTCTTCAACTCTACTCTTCCCACACCGTTGTCTACTTTAACTTTTAAAGTAAAGACAGAAATATGTTTTAAAAATAGAAAACATTCAAAATGAGTAAATAACTTAAAAAAATTTTGTTAAAGTATAAATGGATAGACATACCATATTTATGGATTAGAAGACTTGGGCTAGTTAAGATGGCATTCTTTACAAATTGACACATAGAATTAATGAGATTCTAATCAAAATCCTCAAACTATATGAAGTTGATTATGAAGTTTTTATGGAAAGGCAAAGAAACTAAAATAGTCAAAACAAATTTGTAGAAGAATAAAGGTTAAAGATTCATCCTACCTGGTTCAAGACCTACTCTAAAGTATGAAGACTGTGTAGTATTGGCAAATAGATAAACACTGAAATCACTGGAACTGAATAGAGAGCTCAGAAGTAGATTCACATATGCCGGGTCAATTGATTTTTTTTTTTTTAACAGAGATACAAAAGCAACTCTTTATTTTCAAAGAAATGTAGTGGGGCCATTGGATAGCTATATGAAAATATATGAGTCACTTCAACCTAAGCCTCACATTAAAAAATTAACTCAAAATAGGTCATTGAGCCAGGTACAATGATGCATACCTGTAATCCCAGCAGCTTGAGAGGCTGAGCCAGGATGTGAGTTCAAAGCCAGCCTCAGCAACTTAGCTGGATCCTAAGCAACCTAGCAAGACCCTGACTCTAATATATATATAAAAAAATATATATATTTTTTTTTTCATTGATTTAAATGTAATATGAAAAGATTTAAAACCTTTGGATGAAGAAATAAGATAAATTTTTATAACCTAGGTTTAGGCAAAGATTTCTTAGATATAAGACTAAAGACACAATGCATAAAAGACAAAAATAATCAATCAAATTTCATCAAAATTAAAATTATTTTCTTTATGAAAGATACTATTAAGAGAATGAAACTATAAGTTAAAGATCASGAGAATATAGTGGCAAATGAGATATCAGACAACTTTCTTATGTGTAGAACATATAAAGAACTCCCAAAACTTAACAGTTAGGAAAAAAAACTAATTTTTTTTTAAATGTACAAAGACATGGGCTGAGGATATAGCTCAGTTGGTAGAATGCTTGCCTCACATGCACAAGGCCCTGGGTTCAATCCCCAGCACCATGTGCCCACGTGCGCATGCGCGCGCCCAAACACTCTCACGCGTGCGTGCACACACACACAAAAAATGTACAAAGACATGAATGAACACTTGATTATAGAGGATCTACAGATGGAAAAAAAAGTATAACAATAGATGTTCAATATCATTAATCTCTAGGAAATGAAATTGAAAAACACAATGAGATCCCACTACATACATATTTGATTGGTTAAAATAAAATTATTTTAAAATATTGACAATATCGAATGCTGGCAAGAATAMAGAGCAACTGGCACTCTCTCCTGCATTGCTGGTAGGAAAACAAGAAGGAAAAATATTCTGCAAAATAGTCTGATAGATTCTTATATAGTGAAACATACACTTTCCATTCGACCCACATATCTATTATAAATGTTGATAATAGTTCTGTATATAGTACCCCCAAAGTGAAACATCTCAAATTTTCTCCTACAGAGAATGATTGAACAGCCACGGTGCAGCCATATGATGGGATATATCTATTGGACCTGTTACTGGACCTTTCTCAAAGACACAAAACTGCGTGAAAGAAGTTAGCTTTTAAAAGTTACATATTGTATGTTCCCTCTTATATGACATTCTAGAAAGGGCAAAACAATAGCAACAGAGAGCTTATCAGGACTGATTTGGACTAGGAGTAGAAAGACAATTCCATCACCTCTGTTTTTTTAGTTTTTTGGTGATGGAACTGTCTCAGTGTTGTGGTGGTTGCAGGAATACATGCATTTCTAAAATTACTGTACAGTATAGCAATTTAAAAAAAAGAGAGTGAGAGAGAAAGAGAGAGAGAGAATTTTTTTAAATATTTATTTTTTAGTTTTAGGTGGACACAACATYTTTGTTTGTATGTGGTGCTGAGGATGGAACCCGGGCCACACGCATGCCCGGCAAGTGCGCTACCACTTGAGCCACATCCCCTGCCCCAGTATAGCAATTTAAAAACTGAAAAGTAAAAAAAAAAAAAAATCTTAGCATACAGTACCCCAATATTTTTCCATATGGATAAATGTAAATAGAATCATTCTATATTATGTAATAATATATAACCCATTTTAATTTAACATGTTTTAAATATCTTTCAATGTAACTAAACATATATCTACATATCAAGTTTTAATGTTTGGCTTGTTATAATACATAGATGTAACACATTATATAAGGACTCCCATGTTATTGGGTATTTGGTTGTTTCAGATTTTTCAATATTAATAATGATGTGATAATCATTCTTATAGTTAATTATCTGCACAAATCTTTAATTAACCTTTTAAAATGTTTAGAAGTAGACTTGCTAGATCAAAGATATAAATAGTTTTAAAGGTCTTTGACATGTTTGTCTAAATGTCCCTCAGAAAAGTGGTACCCAAATTTCATTCCCAGAAGACACAAAGAATAGCCATTTCATGCAAATTATWACTACACTGAGAGTTCATCTTACTCTAGCCAGAATGGCAATTAACAAAAATACAAGAAACAGTAAATATTGGTGAGGATGAGAGGGAAAGGTACAATCATTCCTTGTTGATAAGACTGCAAATTAGTACAATCACTCTGGAAAGCAGTATGGAGATTTCTCAAAAACTAAGAAAAGAACCACCATTTGACCCAGTTATCCTACTCCTCAGTATATATCCAAAGGAGTTAAAATCAGCACACTACAGTGACACAGCCACATCAATGTTTATAGCAGTACAATTCACAATTGCTAAGCTATGGAACCTACCTAGATGCCCATCAACAGATGATTGTGGTATGTATACACAATGGAATATTAATTACTCAGCCATAAAGAAGAATGATTTATGATATTCACAGATAAATGGATGGATCTGGGAACTATTACGTTAAGTGAAATAAACCAATCCCCAAAAAACAATGGTCAAATGTTTTCTCTGATATATTGGATGCTAACACACAATAAGATGGAAGGTAGGAGAAATAGAAATTCAGTGGATTAAACAAAGGAGAATAAAGAGGAAGGGATGGGGAGATAAGAATAGGAAAGACAGTGGAATGCATCTGAGCTAACCTTCTTATGTACATAAATGGAGACACCACAGTGAATCTCACCATCATATATGTCCATGATGGGATCCTAATTAGAATAAGATATATTCCATGCTCATATAAATATATCAAAAGAGATTCTGCTGTCATGTATAACTAAGAAGAGCAAATTTTTAAAATTTGCATATTAAGGGCTGGGGTTGTGGCTCTGTGGTAGAGTGCTTGCTTCACACATGTGAGGCCATGGGTTAGATCCTCAGCACCACATAAAAATAAATAAATGAAATAGAGGTATTGTGCCCAACTACAACTAAAAATTAAATATTAAAAAAGAAAAAAATTGCATAATAAAGAAAAGAGTATCCACTTTACCATATGCTCCTTGCTCAAATTCTGCTGTTGTAYCATGTGATCATGTGGGGTTAAAACTTCTTAAGAGTCCTATATCAATATATGTGGAATCATCTTTGACCAAGAAAACAACCCACAGAGCCTCACACACAGCCTTGCACACAGAAGTCAATGCTGGTATTTGTATATATATTTTTTTTAGTAAGAATAAACAAACAAACAAAAACCCTAAATTTTTCTCAGGCAACTAATTCTTTTTAAAGCTAAACTCTTTAGAGCTATTTAGCTTTTTAATCAATGATCACTAATACAACTGTAAAGCAGTGGTCCCCAAATATTTTCTTATCAAATCCCACCAATAAAAGAATTTGGAGCATTCACTCAGTATACTTATTTTTTAATACTTTCTAAGTATATATATACCTGTTAATCAACACTTGAAAGAATAACAAAGCTTATTTTTTTTAATATTTGGGGTTCAAAGTAAACATAAATTGAAGTTCCAATATTTTCTTCACACTCTCAAACCATTGCTCTTTCCATCCTCCCAGGCTGGGCACATCTTGCGGATGACTGCCCTGAGGAACTAGACACCCAAGGTTCTGTGCTGTGCACCATGAAAAGAACCATAAAAGAGCGCAGCCTCTGCCCTGGGGATTTCACAGGCCGCCTGGAGAAGACGATGAGCAATTCATAGATATTTGAGCTGTGAACACAAGGGAGAGAGCAATGGAAAGAGGGGTCCCTGGAACAGGTCATGAAGTACAGAAGGAATTTTGAATTTTATACCCTGAGGAAACCCCTCACTATATGTTCTAGTCCAGCTTCAGCAACGTTCCAGGAAGTGGGGCTGGGGAGGCCTTTGGAGTGGGAACAAGCTGTACACCTGCCATATGACTGTTGGTGGGTTTTACTTTGTGTTGTGTGTGTGTGTGTGTGTGTGTGTGTGTGGTGTGTGTGTTTTTCCTGTTTGTTTAATGTATTTTTTTTCCTTCTGTTTCAAGACATTGTGACATACATTTCAGTTTTAGCAAAGGACAGTGCCAGAGGGTGTGGAGACTCCTCTGTTGAGATGGCTGAACTCTGGCAGGTTAGTGCCCAGTGTGGCTTCATAGTTTTCTTATTTTTAAGCATAAGAATCATATCTTCCAGACACGCGATCTCCTAAGGACAGCTATTGGCATGCAGGCACTAGGCACACAGGACTCCTGGAGTGTTCTTAAAATTCGGCTTTGCACCCTGTCAGTACCCTGATTTACTGCCCCACAGAGTTTTACCTGTCTACAAAATAAATCTCAAATTCCCCCTTATGACATTTAAGATACTTCAAATTCTGGCCTCCACCTCAACACCTGTTATTTTCCTCATCTCCCACCAGACATGCCAAACCATGTGCTCCTCCCTACACACTGGCTCTATCTCCCATAACAGTTCAGCCAACTCTCTGACACCCTACCCCACTTTTCTAAGTCCCACTCACCTTTCTGCAGCAGTTCTGAGGTCAAGATCTCTGTGAAGTATCCACACTCCCATTTGCTTCCTTCCCTGACAGAATCAAGCTTATCTTCCCTTGGATTTTAATGTGCCCCTCCTCCCCCTCCCCTCCTCCTGCCCTCCCC